AATATTGACCCTGTCTACAAACCTTAATTTTTTTAAGACTTTATTTGTTAACACCTCGTAATCTAGTAGCTGGCGGTTTGTGCCGAGTCCAACATCTAAATTAACAATTTTATTGTGTTTTCTCAAGGGTGTACATACATACATACATTTCTTAAAATTATAATAAAAAGTATGAATTATTAACAAAAAAATGTATTATCAAACCAAATGATGTTTGCTCTTTCTATAGACAAGTTGAAGAATTATAAGGGAAGGAAACGGGGGGCAAAACACAAACAATAATAAATGCAGATAATGCTTATTTTAGGCCGGATTTGTGTGTGGGAAACTCATTGTAGAGCATTTGAAATTGAGTAAATGAAGTCCAAAAAACCGGTTCCCTTGAGTAGGCCTTTTCCAGTCAGTAGTTCAAAATCCAAGAGCAGCAAGAAACCGATCGCAGCTGCTTTCCCGTTTATCAATTCATTTTTTCCGGTGAAACCAAAACCTTCGAGCTCTTCATCAACAATCATTCTTACCTGAAAAAGAGTTACCAAATTCGTTTCACCAAGTTTTTTATTCATTGAAAATAATTCTTGTAGCAAATGCAAAGCTCAATATTGGCGACGTTTGTAAAAATACTTTATAGTTTCAAAAGATGTCACTTTTTTCCACTTCTTATTCCGTTTATTTGAAATGGAAGATTCAGTAAATCCTGAAGGATAATTCTAAAACTACCCGGGAGATATTAGATTTTTTTTTTACCTCATCAACGTTGACGTCAGAGGCCGTCACACCGGGATTAGCTTTCCCACTGAAAACAATCTCAGTAGACGCATCAGATTGCGAGCTACTTCCCATGCTTATGTATATATTCTCGCCATCAATTTTCACAGGATATACGAACAAAGTCCTCAGTGGTGGCGTGAGTGCCCTAAGCACGGGATTCTTAGGGTACCACTCTTTAATGTCTCCCGTTCGCAAATCAAAAGTGCTATCAGTGGTCGGGCAAACAATACATCCATCCTGCAACAAATCAAAACAACGTGTTTCCAAATAATGAACCATTTTTTCTTGTGGCACAACATATGAAGCGAAACAACAGCTAACCAAGGACTTTTGATTACATGAACTATATTTTAATTAAACATGTGGCATTACTGATTACACTTCAACAATTCAAAATAGATCAGGTTGTGCAGAAACTTTCTTTTCCAACCATGGAGATTAAACTGGCTTGAAAAATCCAACCTAGACGTGCAAATAAAAGCTAATAAGTTGAATTCATTTTTGGTGTATTTGGATTAAGAGATTTAGGTGTATGCATTTCAATTTCCCAAGTTCAAAATTATCATACATGTTTGGATGAGAATAGAAATTGGAGAAATTTCAAATTCAACCAAGATGTTCAATAGATTTTACTCATTATTCAAAGGGATTTCAAATGACACTTCAAACCATCAACTCCACTTTTCATTCCTCACATTACAATGACCACAGCATGTCAACACTGCCGTCGTGAGCAAGATGTATGTATAATCATTTTCACAGATCCATCCATATGCAAATAAAGAATTCTAAAGCATGAAACTTGAAACTCAATGGCTTCGAAGTCTGCTCATTTCAAGGCCGTCAATCCAAACACAGCCTAAGCTAGTGTGTTGTTGTGAATATGTTGTAAGCGCTTATTTATAAAGTGGAACTATAGGACATACACGATTACATACTTCACAAACAATGTAGAACGATAAATTCAAACCACTACTCCCCAACTTTGATATTGTAAAAAATAAAGCAGAATTAGATGCAAAAATTGGCAATTGAAAACACAACTACATTTCTTTCTCAAAATTCTGACAGATAAATATAAACGGTATCACTATTTCAATTGATGCCAGAAGTATAACCACAATCCAAATACTGAATATACCAAACATTAATCCCCTATTTGGCTATTCGCCTCAATCTTACAACAAGAAGAATACTCAGAGACATGCATAAGCAAGTTTAGTTTTCACAATTAAAAAAATAAGTAAACAAAGTAACAAACCAAGTTCACACACACTCAAACAAACCTGAGTGAGCTTAGCATTGAGCAAGCCCTCAGAATAGGCACCCTCTGCCGGAGACCTATTCTCTATAGCAAAAACGTCGTCTTTATACCACAACAGCAGCACCGTCTCCCCATCTTGTATGATCACGCGCCGCTCCCCCTTCGGCAGCGCCGTTATCGGAACCACCGGCAACCAGCTCTTCCCTTTTTCCACGGACGCCACCGAAGAAGAAGGCGACGGCGAAGGCGAAACATCGGTAGCCTTGCATTTCATAACCCTAGCTCTGGCGCGGTCGGGCACCGGCGGGAAATTGGAAAGGGACTTCGCGGTCGGCGGAAGGCGGGTGCGAGGAACGGTGCGCGAAGGGGCGGCGATGGAGAATTTAGGTGCGGCGACGGCCATGGCGAGGGGTTGAGGAGAGTGAGAAGAGGCGATGTGGAGTGTGGAGGGCAATTGGTCAACGGAGGAGGAAGAGAGAGAAAGAGAGTGGAATTCATGGCCACAGAAAATACTACACAGGATATGGACACGTAGATTCATAAATATGGTTCTCAAATTATATAATTTTTGTTTT